ACTTTAGCCCAAGATACGATCATTCTTTAAACATAGTCAAGTTACTACTGGAATTAGATATTTTTTTAATGCTGCCATCTTGTTAGCATTGTTTAACAAACATAATTTTATCTGATTGCAAATCTATACAGTAAATAAATATTTGATCACTGTGCTTCTGAATAGAAAACTACAAATGAGCTTTTGGGGTCAGACTGTGTGGTGGCATTAACACAGTCTGGTAATGGTGATTGCTAGATTCGGTTATTTGCATTGTGTAAAAAATAACATCTTTAGTTAGGTTGAAACAAATGTTCCTACGTATGTGCATGTGCCAACAATGTGTATGCTTTTACCCATGTGGACTTGTGTGAATCTTTGTGTGTGTTGTATGGGCATTCAGATTTTATGAGTTGATGATTCTACCGTGGACACGTTATGCATGTGTAATCGTGTTAAGGAGTAGAAATCAAATATGCTAGATTAAATGACAAAACAAACAGATGTGTGTCTTCCTGTAATACAAGAAAATAAGGACATCGTAGACAGATCTAATAAAGCAGGCACTGTGGTGGCAATAAGCTGAGTTAAGTAGGCTTGATTCCATCTATTAACACTGTTTACCATCTCCTTTATTACCCTGAGATGAATTGCAGCCCTTAGCAAAAGCTATGATAGATCAAATGAGATTTAAATACAACTGCAGCTAAATCAAGCTACAGTAAGTATACATACCTTTTCTTGTATTCATTCAGAGCTATTTTGCTGACAATTCTCTTCAAAATAGTCACATGTGTGTGTAGGGCTAGAGTATGTGCCACAAGAGTGTTTTTATGTTTGTATGCCTGGATTGATTGCTCTATGTACAGCCAAGTCATAAGGTGACAAAGAGTGTGTTAAGGTTTTACTGCAATCTGCTCACCGGTGGAATATTGGTTGGATTCCAAAGGTCTGGAGTACATCAAACATACGGCAAAACAGCTGCTGCTGTATGAAAGATAAGCTAAACTCTCCATCATGCCATGTGACAGCTCATAGAGCCACGCTGCACACATCGATCTCCATAGGCTTTTCACTGCATGTCAGGTGCAGAATATATCTGCCACTGTGGAAAAGGTGGCCCAAAGGGGGAAGGAAATACAGCATGGGAAAGAAAGAGACAGTAGAGCAAAGAGTTAATGTGGAGGTAGAGTGAATATGTAAAGGCAGAGGAGACGAACTCCTGAATGAGCATAAGTTGCAGGGGGAAGAACGGAGAAGGAAATGAATAGGTAACTAGGAAGGATGTTGCAACAGAACATGTCCTCCCAAGAGACTTACGGCCTAAGGGGATACTGTGATCATTTCTATGTTTGTGTGTGGGTGTGTGTGCCTTTGTATTTCTTACATTATGGGGACTGAAACCTGTTAACACACTCACACTGTGGGGACTTGGCCATCCTTGTGGGGACCAGAGGCACACTGAATTTTAGGGTGGCAACATGGTTTAAGGTTAGGGTCAGGCAAGTAGTGGTTATGGTTAAGGTTAGGATAAGTCTACAGGAAATGAATGTAAGTCAATCTAAAGTCCCCACAAGGCATGAAAACAAAGCATATGTGTGTATGTGTATGCGTGTCACAGTAGGTGATGTTACCATGAACTATCACACAGTTTATTTATGACAGCTCCCCACTGGTGGTTACAGAGATGGAGAGCAACCTGCTTACACCTCATAGTCACTCACTTTTAGATTAAGTGTGTGTTTACTTCCTCATGATTCTTAGATCAATAGCTTCAAGCCTGGTTTTGGTAAATACTTGCACTGTAAAATGTAGGGTACTAAACAGCAGGTAATCATGGTTATGAGTAACATAAATGCATATCTTGAGGTGAGAGTATACTTATGTTTCTGTAATGTAGATTGTGATTATTTCAAACAAACCTCACTCAGCTGACTTCTTTATAAGTGGGGTTTTACCTTCACATCACAGTTTTTTTTAAGTCAAGGTGCATTTAAAATTCATTTGACACTATTATTTGCACATTTACACAAGCATGGAATGAAATTAAAGCTGCATGAAGTGGGTTTTGACCACTAGGGGCAGAAAAATTCCAACTCTCAGCAAGTAAGTGTTACAGGCATCAGGCTGGGGAGAACAGTGGACAGATGATGCGTCATATACATGGAAAACCTGAAACAGGAAACATTAGTTTCGTGTGTTTAGCAGGCTGTTTTACATCCGAAGAAGCGGAAGTCTCGCAGCTCTATTAAACTAGTGTTCCTGAGTTGCATACTCCATGTAGTGGTGTAATCTGGGTAATCTGAAAACATAGTACTTAAATCCTTTACTAAACAGACCAATCTGGCCATGGTTTCTACACAGAAATATGTAGAATTGCATACCAACTCAACAATTGTTACAATTGATTGGTGGGGTTACATAAGACTGAGTGCCATCAAATGATCAATTTCTTATAGCTATCATGTTAGCACACAACTGCCTGCTTACGCAGAAACAGAGAAACCTTCATCACCTCTTAAATGTATAGTGAGTCCTATATTTAATGCTGACACAACAGAAAAACAGGGATCCCAGAAGAGAGTGTTGGATTAAAATATACTGATTCCCTTCAGGTTCAAATCATGGTGCCTGCGGTCCACATGTCAGAGTGTCCATGGCTGACAATGGTTAGCGCCATCGGTGTGAGTTGGTGCCGCAGATGGCTGCCTCGGTTCTGTACTGAAAACAAATTCCTTGTGTGTGTAACATACTTGGCCAAATAAAGTGATTATCTTTATCGTTATCATGTATCTTTGGTGAATTCTGTCCACTCAGAAGTATTGACGGAATGTGGTAATTGTGTAATTGTTTAGGAATACTCTGCTCATGGCATGGTAAAATGGGGGGGGGGGGGGGGGTGGAATGAAAAATGCTTTATTCAATTTCATCTTGCCAGGACTTGCCGCACTGTTGTGTTGGTTGCCTGGTAACTGTAATACTCGGAGATACAAGTGCAGAGAGTGTAGTGGGTAAGACTCTCACCGTTTTGCTCTTTTCTTCTTTGTTTGTCTTCTCTCTCTCCTTCTAGTTGTGTATATACAATATTCAGCTGTTTTTGCAAGTGAGTGGTTGTAAAAACATATATGTTTTTTTTCCATCTTGTTTCCTTTATCTGTCTTTTGTTCATAGGTACTGATTAAGAGAGATCACAGTCACAGTTGTGTCATGGAGCTCATACCTAGACAACAGGGATGACAGGCGAGGTCAGACTTTGCTGGGGGAATATTTCACAAAGCCATCAGTCTTGAGTAGAAAGCAGTGTTGGCAGAGATGTGACATTCATTGGCCTGTTTCTGTATTGGTCTCTCCACCTATTAACCAGTGACATAGCAGCAAGGTGTGAAATTTAGACGCCTGCGCGTGTGCATTTGCATGCACGTGTGAGAGGGAAGTAGTATAGCTTGTTGCTCACAAGAATTTGTCTCTTATATGATTATTTTTGCTTTTTGTTTGCCTCGTAATTGTCCCCTCTGGTCCCCACTGTATATATTATGATGCTGCAGACCAAAAAGGGATGCAAATTATATTTAAGAATTCATCACAAACTACAGTAAATCATCAGCTTTTCTTTTTCACTCTCACTTCCTCAATCTATCTTGCACCATGGCGAGCTGTGAAATAGCACTAACAAAACATATTCATTTCCATCAGCTACTGAAAATTGGCTATCAAGACTCACTGACACTCAAATACAAACAAAACAATGTGTGTGTGAGTCGAAAGAGTGGTCAGACTGTTTGGTTTGTACCCTAGGCATGTTTTCGGGATTACTTTCTGCTCTTTCTCTGACAATGAGTTTAAACCAATTAAAGCATATTAACCTAGTGGGTTGACCACACAAAATAAAGAATTCTGTATTTCTTGTGCAAAGAGGGAGTAATTTACTGTACAAAAATCTGTAATCGAAAAGAAAACAATAATTTTTATAGCCTGCAGACTCTGTACCTGCGGTGAAATTCTCTTTGTTCTTCCTTTCGCATTCTTTTTTAGGCACTGTCTCTTTGAGCTGTACAGGTTTTCAGGCTCACTGGAGGCATTCCAATAGATCCATCAATTTAACAAAGCAGTGTGTGTGAAGCATAAAGAGCCATTCCCTCGGGATACACTCTCAAATACACAGACACATGTGCACACCGATAGACAATCCGTGTTGTTTGTTTGATTCGCCTCTGTGTTTTTACTGGAAGGATGTCTCAAAGGTGATGCGCTTGCTGTTAGTTAGGTCCTCTGTGTTGTGTTCTCTCGGTTTAATACATGGTTATATATCTGGCCTATATGGTTTTCACCAAGCTGTTTGCTGAACCCTCCCACATTATGGTATATTCTCTTCTAGACAACAGTCCTATCTGTGCGTCGCCTCACGAATTACAGTGCTGTCATTCACAGCATAATATGATGGTGCACAAGTGTGTGCTTGCATGCCTGTATTGTAGACTGTACTGAGCATACACACATCAAATTGTTACTTTCTGCATGTTCATATAAAACTGATGCCATATAGACATCAGCTAACAACATGATCATCTACTGTAAAATTCTCTTAGAGTTTGTAATTTCCACTTGATATCCAATGAAGCACAGCATTCTCTAATCAACAACATGATATCTACAGTATGTCCATATCCTTATGGGCCTTGCAAGCTCATTAGAAAGCAACAAGCTTCCTTGGATAATCTAGATGGTGAGACACAACTAATTAAAAGATGTCACACTGTAAGGTCTCAATTTACTGATGAGCTAAATCGGGACGATCTCTTTCTGGGGTTGAACAATTGGGGGGTTTCAGCACTCATGATTGACATCCAAGATAAAGACAATGCCGTTTCTGCTTGTATGAGACTGATGCAGGCACACTGTGCTTCATAGAGTCATCTAATCTGTTGCTCTGTCTTCTGTCTTTGTCCTTTTCCCTCCCTGTTTTCTGGCATCTGCCTCTTTTGCTGTCTATCCAATCCCTCTTGTCTACTTTGGAATTCCAGTGATGGCTTCAAAAGGCAAAGTTCGAGGTGAGTTCTGGCTCCATTTCCATGCTTCACCACCACTTCCAGTGCTGTGACTCAACCTTTAAAAAACTAACATAAGAAAAGTGAGAGATTTTTTTTTTTTTTTTTTTACCAAATAACTGGCTGATGTTTTTGTTTGTTTGCTTATTTCTGTGGCCAGGGGATGGTTTTTTTAAAAAATAAGTCTTGTCATTCAGTCATTTCAAATTTCATTTCAGCTTTCATACAGTTTAATGCTGTTTTGTTTTAATGGAATTTTCAGTGTGTTTTGGTAAATGCACTAAACTATAGCATGCACTGTTTACTTGTCATTACCTGAACAGTGGAAAATATTACTCTGACAAAATGATTTGCTTGGGATTTGAATGGTTTTAAAATGGTAGTACTACTGCAACAAAAACCTAATTTTAGTGTCATTATTTATATATTGTTTTTTCCCCCGTTTTGATAGATAATTACTTAAGGTCATAAACAAAGAAGAGGACAGTGTGAGGTCATAAGTTTAGTAATGGAGTATTTAATTGTGTCATACTGCCAGACACTGGAAAGGTGGCTGTAATATACAATGATAAAATCTTCTCCATCACTCCCTGTGTCTGCACGATGGCGGTAAGAATAGATCATAGATCAGTGTTTATTTGAGACCTGATTTCATTCAGCTATGTACTTCAGTACTTCAATAAGCCTCTCAAAAACTAAGAACCACCTAAATAATCTCCTTCAGTTTAGTTACCACGTATTACTAATGATTACAGAAGCACTGGTCTTAAAAATAGACATTTCGTGAGCAGAGACAGAAAAAAAGAGTCAAAAAAAGACAGGCATCACTCCAGGTGGCAACACACAGTCTATACAATTTAAGTTGTATGAAGAGAGCCTTTTTATTTATTAATGAAGTTGATGCAGTAATTATGTAGCAGAGTGTTTCTTTAATAAAGCAATTCCACAATCATAATCTGAGCTGAACCTGAAGGAAAAACAGACCACTACATGCCCAAATGTACAAGACAAGTGACCCATCCAAAAAATAGTTGTTGAGGTGTTTTTTCTAAATAGTTTTTGATTTCAGAAAATCTATACTCTTTCTGCACATGCTCATCCAGTGGAGTCAGAATTGTTCCCTTAGGAAAAAAACACATTTCCACTATTTGTCGTTCATGACTCTCCGCCACTTTCCCAGAGGAGCCATCTTTTAAAAAGCTATATTTACTAGGCAGATTCTCAATCATAGTGAGAAGCTGGACTTGTGTGTGTAGTGGTCTGCTCTGATACAACTGTTGCAGAAACACACAACATTTCATACAAAAAAGTGTTGTGGTGTGATGGAACAGGTACATTGCTCATACCAAAGCCCTGTCCACTCCTTCCAACATGATCTCCCTTTTCCTCCTCCTGGCCAGTAATGGTAGTGACAGCATCCGCATCACGTTGTTCCACTACACCTGACTACAGTCTTTTCTCACATCCAGCTGCATATGATGCTGCATATAACTAAGATTTTCGTCTCATCCACTGTTGACCCCACTCTCTCTTTAAAAGCCACCCTAACCTGCCTCTTATCCTTTTCTTTCTTAATGTGACAGTATAGGAAATCTATTGCACTCTTAATAGAGAAACAGAAGATGTGTAGATCAGAGTCAAGCATATGTCTCATCCCTGCCTCTCTCCATTATAATGAGGGTATTGGTAGGAAAGCACAACTTGACAGTTTAGATTCATTCTGATCACTGGGCACATAAAGGCTCAGTTCGCTTCAAAGCACTAGTTCATCAATGTATTTCTTACTGGTGGAAGATTAAATTAGTTTTATTTTTAGAAAATGTGACAACATAAGGGTATCACTGTCAGGGATGCAAATGAGCATAAAATAGGACCTCATTAAACCCAACACAACACGGATAAATGGCACCTGTACAGCATGTTCATGTGTGTGTGTGTGTGCGCGCATTTGCAGAAGTTTTTTGAATTTGTTGTGAAGATTCATTTGTTCTTAACCATATTCTCTTGAACTGCTAAGTAGAGCATAATGGGATTGCACCCCATTCAAAAATATACACTTTCATCATGTTCAGTTGTCACGCAAGTTATGACTCCCTTGAATTATGTACTCAAATGTACTCATGCTGTTAGACCACTCTGAGCTTAGCTTTGAGATGAGATCTTCAGCGTCAACCCTGCTGCCGCGGTCCCTGACTGAAAATGGTGCTTAAAAACACACAACTAAGTCTGACACGAGCCTAGTGATAAGAGTTGTTTTTAAAACCAGCACTTTCTGCTCAGTGAGTCTTACAGATCCCCCGGGGGATGCGAGGCATTTCCCCAGATTACTCTTAAATGAACAGTATCTGTCAAGACATCACCGCACATTAGAAAATCACACTGTGTCATGTTGATTTGGGGAATTTGGGAGTTTTGGTGGCAGCAATGATTACTCTGATTTCCCTCATGAATGCCACCCTAGCCTGAGATCATCTAGCTCTCACCCCCTTACGAAAGCATAAGAAATGATTTGCTTCCAGTCAAAAAAGAAGAAGCCAAGTGTATTTCGCCTCAACATCAATTCGTTAGCCACCATGAATCTGTTTTCTCTGACCTTATGCTTTTATAACATTTAATTTAAAACACATACCAAGCCAGTAAGCATGTGGGTGACTCCTAATATTGCTTCACCATCATTTGGCTTTATATTTAAAAGAGGTAAAGAGTCAAAGATTTGACTTTGTTATACTATACAGGGCCAAATCTTTGTCGTCTGTGTCCTTGTGTCACTTAAAGCAGAACAGATGAGACTATGATATAGCTATTTATAAAAATAAAAAAATGCAATGTACAGTATATTGCACTGCTCATTATCAACCATCACTTTCCATTAGTAATGCAAAACCCACACATACTGCAAATGTACTTACTATATACTGTCTATAAATCTGGGCAGCATAATTTAAATGCCTGTTTCCCAGATCAAATCAAATCAAATCAAATCAAATTTTATTTGTATAGCACCAAATCACAACAAAAGTCATCTCAGGACACTTTACAAAGTAAGGTCTAGACCTTACTGTTATCAATATTATTACATAGGGAAAACCCAACAAATCCCCCTTGAGCAAGCACTTGGCGACAGTGGGGAGGAAAAACTCCCTTTAAAGGAAGAAACCTCCGACAGACCCCGGCTCTTGGTGGGCGGCCTTCTGCCTCGACCGGTTGGGGTGAGTGGATAGAGGAGAGACAAAAGAAGAAAAGCAACAAGACACAACAATCAAACACTGATCAGGTCGATGTGGCTGGTGACTGCTCGTCAGAGAC